TCTTATTTATTTATCATTTATTTATTATTTGTTTTTATTATTATCATTTGATTTATATTTATTATTTATTTCTTTTATTATCTTTCTTTTCTTTATTCTTTATTATTTATATTATATTCTTATTTCTTATTATTTATTTTTGATTTTAAATGATTGTTTCAATATTCATCATTTTATTTATATCTATTATCTTAATCTTATATCATTAATTTCTATCATTAAATATTGAATAATCAATGTGATATAACAAAATAATTTAAATAATATATCATTATAAAATGAAATGATTAATAAATGATTTCATAATAAATATTAAATTCATGAAATAATGAATAATATAATACAAAATGATAAATAAAAATAAAAATGATAATAATAATAAATAATAATACAAAATATAAATAATAATAAATATAAAAATAGATATAATACAAATATAATAATCAAATCAATATATAAATAAAAATAAATAATAATAATAAACAAATAATAAAATTGAATATATTTCTTATTAAACAATCGAATAAATAAAATAAATAAAAAAGATAAATAATAATAGAATAAGAATAAAAGAAATATATATAATAAATAAAAATAATAAAAACATACATAGAAAAAGAAATATAAAAATAAAATATAATAAACATAAAATAATAAAAGAATAATAAGAAAAGATAAAATAAATAATAAAAATAAATAAATAATAAAATAATAAACATAATATTTATATTAATAAATTACTAATTAATATAATTAATAAAATCAAATATAACATAATATAAATAATAAATATGATAAATAAGAATAAAATAAACACAAAAATAAGAAATAAAATAAATACAAAAATACAAAAACAAATATATTCAAATAAAAAATAAAATAATATAAAAAACAAGAGAAAAGAAGAAAAAGATAATATATAATCAATTATAAATATTATATGATTAATATATAATATGTAATAAATAATAAATAATAATTTCATATGATATAGATAGAAGATATAAAAATTAAATAAATAATAATAAATAATAGAGAAATAATAAGAGAAATGATATAATAATAAATAAAATATATAAATGAAAAGATAAATAAAATCAATATAATATAAATAAAATAATAATAAATATAAAAAGAAAGAAGATATAAAATATAAAAATATATAAAAATGAAAATAAGATAAAGAAATGTATTAATATATAAGAAAATATATATAAATAGAAGTGTGTTAATATATAAAATAAAATATAAATAATAAGAATATCAAACTAATAAAATATGATAAATATAAAATATATAGATAATATGATGATATATAATATAAGAATAGAAATCAATATAATAATAAAATACATAAATATATAAAAATAAAATACATAAATAAAATAATAATAACATAATAATAATAATGTATACATACATTGAATCAAATATAATTTCTAAATCATTTATAATTCATAACAATTGATCATAAAATGATATAAAATATAGACAAATATAAATGAATATGGAATGATTATTTAATTTACTTTTTTATTTTTTTTATTTTTTTACGAGCAAAATAATAAAAACTATTATTTTATTGATGCAAAATATTTTGCCCTTTTATTTCATATTTCTATTTTCTATAATAAAAAAATGCATCCTTTATTTCATCATTCTTTTCATCTTTTATTTTCTCATTTTGAATTATTCCTTTTTATCTTCTTTCATTTTATATTCTCAACTTTTTTATTCTTTTCATCATCTTCTACTTCTTAATTTCACTTTTTTTCTTTCATGTCCTTCTTTTTCATCATTTCTCTTCCTTTTTCTCTTATTTCCTTTTTTCGTAGCCGTTCAAGAATATAATAAATGAAATAAAGAAGATAAAATAAGAAGAAAAGAAGATAAAAGAGATGAAAAGACAAGTATTGAAAAAGAAAGAAGAGAAAGAAATATGAACACAAAAAGTAAAGAAGAAGGAAGAATGATAAAAAGAGTTAAAGAAATGTATCAAACAATCACAAGAACAAGAATCAAAGTTGGAGAAAAAGCACCAAAAATAAGAGGGAAATCATATTATAAAGGAGAAATCAGAGAATATGAAATGAAGGAAGAGAAAGGGAAATATCATGTGATTGCATTTTATTGTAGAGATTTTTCAAGAATTTGTCCAAAAGAAATCAAAGAAATAAGTGAAAATATTGATAAATTTAAAGAATTAAAAACAGAAGTAATTGGGATTTCAGTCGATTCAGTAGAAGAACACAAAAGAATGTGTTCAAGAAAAGATGAAAAAGGAATAGGAGAAATAGAAATTGAATTAATAGAAGATGTAAACCATCAAATAACAGAAAGTTATGGATTACTTTCTATAATAGGAGTATCAAATAGAGCAACAATTATTATTGATGATAAAGGAATTGTTAGGAGAGTTGATATTCATTCAATGATTACAGGAAGAAATGTTAAAGAAATAATAAATGAATTAAAAAATATAATAACAATAGATAAAAAGAAGAATCAAAATTAAAAAATAAATTTAATGAATTATTGAAGAATCATTTTCTAAAATAATTTTAATAACATTTGAAATAATAGATTTAATTTCAGGAGATGCATGCACATTACATTCACAATCTTCTAATACATCATAAATAATTTTATTTGATACTCCAATAATTTTCATATTTTTTGCAATCATATGAAGTGTTGTAACTAATCCATTTTCTTCTTTTTCTCTATATTTTGCTTGTTGTTGTTGATTCCATCCTTTCCAAATTGTAGGTAATTCTAATGAATATAGTTTTCCATATATTTCTTTTTTTGAATTAACCATACTTTGATTAAATGCTCTATACCATATATTTTTATTATTCCATATCTCTGCCATTCCAATATCATCAATAAGAAATCTATAAGTAATAATATCTTTTTTATAACAATATTTTGTAGCAACTTCAATAATTCCTAATGGTGTTTCTATATCTTTATCACTTTTACAATAAGCAACAAGTGTTTTCATTAATTGAAGAAGATTATCATAAGATTCAAATTCAAGACAACCTTTTGATTTCATTTTATCAGCTTGAGAACTTAAAATTTTTAATAATAAATGTCTTCCTGCTTGATTACTTGCACATTGATAAACTTTTTCCATATCTGGAGAAGAATTTGTTTGAATATCATCAACAAATCTACCAAAAATTGCATTCCAAATATGTTTTTCTTTTGGTTTTTCTTTTTCTATTTTAAATTTATCAAGTTCATTACAATAATTTTTATCTTTTTGCATTTGTTTTGTAAGACGAATACTACTTTCACTTTGTTTTAATTTTTTTAAATCTTCCCAATCAAGATTAAAATCATTAATATCTTTTAATTCTTTTATTACTGGTTGATTTGATGGTGTAATATTAGTAATTCGTTTTGCCTTAATATAGAAATTAAAAAGATCTGTTAATGAACAATTAAAAATTCTATTTGAAATCCATTCTCTGAAAACATTATCAAATCCTTGTTCTTTAATATATTCTAAAAATGTTCCTGATTCACAAAAGTGTTTGATTAATGGTTCACAATCAAAAGATTTTGTTAAGAAAAATGAATAAACATCAAAATCAAATACTTCATTATCAGCAACCCAAACATAATTAATAAATTCATCATAACCTTCTAATAATTTAGTAAGAAATTTAAAATAAGCTAATCTTACTTTAAGATTAAATGAATTAGTAGCAGTTAAAAAATATCTATCATCATAAGGTTCATTTCCTAATTGATCCATTTTCAAATATTTTTCTTTAAAAGCATCATTTAAATCTTTTTGTAAATCAACAGTAAGGTCAACAGGAAATTCTAATAATTCTTTACTAACATTCATTTCAATAATTCCAGTATCTAAATCAACACCAATATATTCTTCATTTCCTAATTGTTTTTTTGCTATTTCACGATATTCATTTGGTACTCCAGCAATAAATGTATCACTTCCTGATAAAACATTAAGATTTTTATAAGGAAGAATAGCAAAAACTTTTTGTGTTGGAGGAAATGGATAAAGTAATGAAATTAAATTATCAATAGAAGTTGTTAATAAAGATAAATGAGATGAAAAAATTACAATTTTAAGATTAGTCATTAAAAGTAAAAAGAGTGTTGTCATTCCTGATACATTAAATATAGAAAATAATGGATAAATAGATGTATTAAATATTGGTAATGAATATTTTACTGGTAATCTTATTTCAATATTTAAATTATTATATTTATAACGAGAATATCCTCCATATGCAAGATATTCAATACACATAATTTCATATATTCCTTTAATAATTGGTTGATATTTTGATGTTATAGAATGTAATGTAGAAGATGATTTAAGTAATGTTGATTGTTGAGTTGTTCTTGATGATTGTGTTATTGTCATTTTTATTAAATCATCTCTTCCATCTAATAAATCTATTGTTTGATTTGAAAATGTTGGACAAAGTTCATAAATAGATAATAACATTCTTCTCATAATTTCATAAAAAGGATGATATGATACAAATCCAATTGCAATTGGTGCATATAATATTTGTTCATTAATTTGAATTTTTGTATCACTAATAAGAAAAACATAATATGTCATTTGTTTTGATAAATTTAAAGTAAATAATGGAAGAAAAATTGGTTTTCTTGGTGTTAAAGAAATAGTCATTCCATTTGGAAATAATAATGTCCAAATATCATTACTACAATTTAATGAAGGTGGAATTTTATTTTGAATTATTCCTTTTTGACCAAGATGAATATTATTAATTGGATTTTCCATTATAATTTTAATAAATCCAATAATTGGTCCAATAACATTATTTTTCTTTTCTATTATTGTATTTCTTTTATCAATTGTTCCCATATAATATTGAAATGATTTATCTATTTTTCTTTCAGTTGGTTCAATAACATTATGTATTTGTATTAATAAATCAACCCATTTTCTTTCATCATTTAAAATACTTTCATTACTTCTATCTATTTTTTGTCTTTTAAATTTACATTGAACACTACCAACTTTTTCATTATTTTGAATTAAATCATACCATTGAATAGTTGAAACATCATTTCCTAATCTTGATAATAAAATACGTGCACTTCCTAATTCAATTTTATTACCAACATATCCATGTCTATTAACACTTACAACAATATCTTTCATATTTTTTTCAATATCAACAATAATAGGTTCACTTTTCCATTGTGGTTCTATTGTTTTTTTAACTGTTTCTGTACGATATTTAACTTTTCCAACTTTACATACTCCATATGGATCACATTCATTTGCTTCAACTTTTAGTAATTTTGCTTTAATAACTATAATTTGTTAATTTTATTGTTCAATATAATTTTATTATCTCATTTTTAATTACCAAACTTTGAACTTCTAATTTATAATTATCGTCAAATGTTTCAATTTTCTTTTGTGACATTTCAATCTATGAAAAATGTAATTAAATAAATTATATTTTTTCCTTTTTTTTCTTTCTAAAAATTATAAATCAATAATAATTTCATTAACAAAAGAATATCTTATCAATGTCTTCCTCCTCGATCTCTTTTTCTTGAATTACTCCTTGATGATTTACTATTATTTCTTCGATAATCTCCACGATAATTTCTTTCATCTCTTCTTGAATATCCTTCATCATTTCCTTTTCTTTTACGTGTTCTATCATCTTTATATTCTTTACTATCCTTATTATCTTTACTCTCTTTACTAATTTCACTATCTCCTTTCCCAATTGTTTTTGAGTCTTCTTTCTTTGGTAATGTATTAACATTTCCCATAAGCATTATTGTTTCATTTTTTCTGACAATGAATGTTGAATTTATTATTTTCTTTAATATCTCCATTTGAACTTCATCTGGTTTATTTTCTGCTTTGTTAATCATTTGTTCAAATGGAAACATAACTTCAGACACTGCTTCTGGATATCTTTCATAAAACAAACACAATGCCTTTTGTTTAAGTACTTGATTTTCTGCCTTTTTCATCCATTCTTCATTTAAATTAATATTACTCAATTTTACAAGTACTTCTTCTAGTGTTTCTTGTTGTGGAAATTCTTCAATCATTTCAAAAATTGTTTCTTTTCTCTCAACATCTTTTAATACTTCCTTCTTTTCTTCTTTTTCTTCTCCATTATTTGAATCTTTTTCTGTAGTATCACTATCTTTTTCAACTTCTTTTTGATCATCACTTTCACTCTCGCTCTCACTTTCACTTTCACTTTCGCTATCTTCTTCTTCTTCCATTTTCTTTTTTTCCTTACTTTTTTCATATTCTTTATTCTTATTCGATCTTGTTTCACTGTCTTGAGTGACTTGTGGTTTGTTTTCTGTTTCACTCATTCTCTAGTTTAATAGTTCATTTATATTCTATACTATATTATACTATCATTAAACTATAATGTGATTTTATTTCAATAATTCTTTATTCATTTTCTCTTTTTTTGAATGTTTCATATTTCATTTCTTTTTCAATATATCTTATTAAAAATAAACGTTATCTTTCCTCTCCTTGTTGCTCATCTTAGAATTAATAACACTAAAAGTTTGTAATTGTCAGGGTTATGTCCTTGTATCATTAATTAAAAGTTTTTTTGAAAGAATAATAATTTCTTCAACATAACTTAGATATTGAATACATTCAATTTGGTAGGCTACTAATTAATTTATTTATTGAATTCAGAAATTCCAATAAGTAACCATTTATTTAGTTAAAGCTTTTATTCTAAAAATATAATTAGTTCTTGAACTACTGAAATAAACTGATTAGATATCTCAAAGTCTAATTTTATAAAATTTTGTATTGTATATAAAATTCTATTTCTTTTCTTTTTATTTTTAATGAACAAGAATAAATTGTAAAAATAATCTACAACTATATCTATTCTTCCTGAGGACATTTATTAAATATATAGAATATTTAATTAACAAATTGTTTTAACTGTATTACTTAATCGTATATAAGTAATTATAGATGTTAAGTTGGTTAGAATAATTAATTTTTATATTGTTATATTTTATCTACTTTAACAAAGATTTTCTATAATATAATTGATTATTGTTTAATGAAATTCTTCTTTTTCTTATTAGATTTTCCAATAAACCTTTAAGTAAAGAAAAGTAGCATCTTTTTAATACCTTGGTCTTTCTTCTCTAATTTATTTTATTTCCTTAATTTAGTTTTTCTTACAACTAGAAAAAATGAAAAGAATAAAAACTTTATTTTCCCACAAAAACACTATTTTATTAAGACATTACTCCTTTGGAATCACCTCAAAAATCAAATCAGTTGGTCTTCCATTCTTAACATCTCCATCTAATGGAAAACGAACGAAATAATTCCTTTTCTTCAAAGTAACATTCAAATTCTTTGGGATCCTATAAATTTTTGGAATAATACTACCATCATTAAATCGTTTTTCCCTCATAATGTAATCTTGATGGAATATTGTGAATTTAGTACAGTACTTAGCTATTTGATAGTACTCTTTTTCTTTCAATACTTGTGCCTTAGGAATAAAAGTAACAACAAGATCTCCATACCCATTATTCAAAGGAACACCACCACCAACTATTCTCATTACTTTACTCAAATTACCATGGAGATTAACAGCTGTTCGATTTAAAGTAAAAATCGTAATTTCTTGGTTTGCAGCTTTAGCTCCAAATTCTGGTAGTTCAACACTTGTTATGATATCATCTCCACTACGATAATAACCTGATGGTATTTCATTAACTTGTAACACATAAGTTTTTCCTTGTTCTTTCTTTATAACAGTACTTCCTGCAAGGGTTCCTCGTGGTATTTCAACCTTGATATGTAAGTGTTCATTTTCAGCTATTCCCCCTTCACATAAAACTGGAAGGGTTGCACATATCTCTCCACGAATAACATTTGTTGGTGTTAATGTTGAAATGAATATTGATTTATTACTTGTTAAGGGAGGAATGACATAAGTTTGATTAGGGTATTTGAGTGCATGTCTAAGTGTTACAGCTGAACTGTGATCTATATATTTCAATGCAACAGAAGCAGTGTCTTCTGCAATTTCAAATGATTCGATCCTATCAGTCTTTTGAACATTAAATGTCATTAAGATCTTCTCAACTAAGGATTGTTTTAATAAAGAAGAGGTTTTAAATAAAGACACATCCCAATTGCGTAATACCGCAGATTTCCCTGTGTGTTGTTGTAATGATCCTGATAAAGCAGAAGATAATAACTGTTTTGGAGATTGGAAAACTGCAGCTATCCTAAAAGGATATCCCTCTATATCAACACTACCTAACTGCTCAATGTGTTTTGCAGCTATTTTATGAGAAGAACCATCAGGAAGTTCTACGATAATAAAAGGATTATTAAATGTTGGGTGTACAGTAACAAATAAAATGTCATCAAAAACACAATAATTACTTTGTTGTGAAACAGTAATATTGAAAACAACATCCCCTACACTGAGTGATGTTGGATGGAGAGTATATCGAGGAATAACAATATTATAAATATGATCACCTTTAATAATTCTTTTATTACATCCATTGAATCCTTCTTGGAATGAAATCATAAGGTCATAAGATTGGTTAGGTAGTTCAGTGTGGTATAGTTCAATGTCTTTAATGTTTGGAGAAGAAGAAGATAATAATGATTCAATCTCATCTTTTAAATGACAATTAAGATAATTCTGAGATATTATTATTAATGTTCCAATTCCAATACAATACCTATACAAAATACTTCCGACACTAGTTGAACAAGGAAAGTCAGGTGGTTTACAATTATTTACTTCTCTTCCAAAGTCATTAATCTCTGTAACAATTTTCTTTAAATTCGATGGAAGGAGTTCCTTTAATGCACTTACCTCTAAAAGCAGTTCATTTATTATTGTTGGTGATATAATATTTGACTGCATTCTCCTTTGATTATTTTAAGATGATTTTTCTTAATCTTATAAATCAAAAACTTATTTACTGTTCCTTATAACAAAAATTTATAGTTTTGTTGTTTATCAGAAATTTGTAATTTAATACAAACAATAACATATTTCTTCTGGTATCAACTCACCACTAACCCTTTACAATACCAAAAATGAAACTTGGGTTACTTTTCTTTTGACTATTTGGAGTTTAAAAAAAAAGAAATAAATACTTTGTAATACTTTATTCAATCTTTTAAATCACATAAGCATATCCTGGAACCAGAATTAAGTTATTACCTAACCACAGTTTAATACAGCTAAGTGTTTCTTGAATAAAAAGTACAAAATATGTTCATATGAAATTCTTTAGACTTCTCATTGAGAAGTTGTCTCCAAACTGCTTGGATGATTTACAATTACGAAATAGCTACTATTTTGTAGCAATCTTATTAAACTACTTCTAAGATTAAAGTATAAGTTTGTATTAATTTATGACTAAAAGTTTTAGATAAAGACAGTGATCACAAAAATTGAATAATGTATTGGAATGTTTAAGTTAACTCCTCTGAAGGTTCTCTTATAATTTGATTAAGAACAAATGTAAATATTAGACTAATAAAAAGAAGAGATAATTAATGGATAAAACATTTTAACTTTTCTAGTATAATTCAAAAACACTGATTAATTTAAAATGATATCTATAGTTAATCATTTAACAATGAAACATAGCATTTAAAACAATTAACAACAATGAAACTTCTTTAAAATACACAAATTTCATTTTAACAAACTTTTAGTATTACAAAAGTCTTTAAATGGTTAAAAGGTCTAGTAGTTATTTTAATCTATATAGATTGAGAAGGACAATACTTGTTAGAAACATTATTTAGAATATAATCATGTAATTAGAACATTTTGAATTTTGTTAGATTAAAATGTTCAATTTCAACACTGATTATTTTTCATTATTTGTATAACCGAATAGTTACATTAAATTGTAAGAATAAATCATATGAAACATGTTGTTATTTAATTATAAGATATTTATTTTGAGCAAAAAGTAATTCAATTGGTATCAGATTTGTTTTTGTTTTATTGTTATTTCAAATAACCCACTTCAAAAGTATTATCATTGAAATATTAACTAAAATTAGAATACCCTTGTAACATATAATTTACAAGATAAGGAATGATATAATTCTTTCAATATCATCATAACTGATTCTAACATAAATAATTTGTTAATAGACTTCTGTAAAAAATAACAATACCATAAGAAATAATTCAAAGAAAAATTATTATCAAAGACTTTCTAATAACGTTATATTCAATACTAATATGCTATATCTTAAATACATCTGAATTAAATTATATAAACAATATTAATATTTCATTTAATACTATATATCTAATCATTGTATCACTTGAACAATAATATATCAGAATAAAATTTAAAAAAAAAACATTTATTGTAATTTTTTATGCTTATTCAATTTCATAAATAATAAAAAAGAAAGACAAATACTTAGGATAAGTTTTTAATAGTAAATTATCATCATTCTTTGGGTCATTATCAAATTCTTTAAAAATCAAAAATAATAAATATACATTTACTCCATTTATAATTCATTAGAAATTTACACAATTTGTTTGTGTTATTCTTTAATTTACTAACAACCAATTTAAGTATTAAATCTATCAGTTTCAATACACTTATGAAATTAAAATAATCCAAGTGAAGAAGAATTATGAAAAATATAACTTAATAAAAATGTATTATTTTAATATCGATAGAATAAAGTTCTTTGGGTAATAAGAATATACATTAAGAGTAGAATATATAAACAAATTTATTCATCCATCAACTAGAAAGAAACAGAGATAAAAAAAAAACATAAAAAAGTATGCAAATTATTAACAAAATATGAAATAGTAAAAGATACTTTATATTATTTTAAACAAGTAAATAATATAAACAATGAAAAAAATTGAATTAGAATGCATCAGTTTCAAGTTTCTGATGACCAAAGATTGAATCTTCTATTTGATCAAATTGGTTTTGTGTTATTATTAATTTATAAGAATTAACTATAAATGGAACATCTGTTTGAGCTGCAATAAAATAATGATCATCAACTGCAGATTTGAATAATAGAATAAACATATCAAATGGTAAAGGATTAGGACAAGAGAATGTATATTCTGAATATATTTTATTTATTTTTAAAGAACAAGAATTATTTAAAGAGAGTTTAAATGAAATATATAATAAATAATTAAGATGATATGAAGTGTTATTGATTAAGTCAATATTTTCTTTAATTAATTTATGACCAATACATAAAGGTTGAATAATTGTATTAAAAAAAGAATTTAGAGAATTATCGGTGGCATTTGGGTTAGAATGAAGATATTCGAAAAATGAAAATGAAGACGTAATAATAAATAATCTTGAAGGATTATACCAATATAACTTCTCTACAAATATCATAATTTTCTTTTTTATATCAACGTTTGTTGTTTGAATTGACATAGAAATAACATGTTGTATTGATTCAAGTGAAAGAGGAAGAAATACAATACGTTTATAATGATAACCTAATTGAGTTGATAAAGGATTATAAGAAAAGTAAACTAAATGAATAATAATGTTATGTAATGCACAAAATGATTGTAAATATTTGAAATATTGAATTTGTTCATCTTTAAGAATTTTTTCAAAATCATTAACTAAAATAATTAGTGTTTGTTTATTACTTCTACCAGTTTTTATATGTTCTTTTGTAATAATTTGAGAAATAGAGATTAATGGTTTTGATTTTATCATACGAATAAATGATATTAATTGTTGATTAAATTGAATAAGTTTATGACAATATATTCCATTTAAACATTCTTTAATAATCATAATTGAATCATCATCATAATTTCTATGAATTAAAATAGTTTCTCCTAAATTATTTGCCTTAAAATAATGAGTAAATCTCTTTTAAAATAAATAAATATTACAAACTGAAGAAATAATATTATAAAATTCATTAATTTCTTTAATACGTTCTGGAAAACAAGAAAGGATATATTCGTAATGAGTATTCATTTTGAAATCTTAGTTTACTTTTTGGTTAATGTGTTGAACATATCTGAACTATAAACATTTTTCTTTTCCAACCCTAAAATAAATTAATTAAATTAAATGGAAGTTATGGAAGAATTCATTATATTAGACCTAAGATATTTAATAAATAAAAAGAAATGAATAAACATATAACATATCACAAGATGCAGAAAACAACAATTGTAGATGGAGTAGAAATTACAACTAATCTTTTCGAAGAAGAGATTCATTCACTACCAAAAAAAGAAGAATATAATTCTTTGATTATAACACAAACACCAATATCTCAACATCATGAAAAAGAAGAAGATATTTCAACTATAAGTGATAAAGATAATGAAAATGAAAAAAAACCAATAATAAAAAGTAAAAACAAAAAATTAAAGAAGAAAGAAGTAAAGAATTATATTTGTTCTGTTTGTGGTCATAAATGCAATACAAATGGTGCTTTAGTTTCTCATAAAAGAATACATGACCCTAATTCAAAGAAATATTCATGTCCAGAATGTGGAAAAAAATTTAGAACAATGGCAGAAGTAAGAAGACATTCAGTTACTCATACAGGAGATAAAAAATTTATTTGTCCAATTGAGAATTGTAGGAGATGTTTTACAACAAAATCATATTTAGATAAACATATTGAATCACATAAAACAAATCAAACATATCAATGTACATATTATGGATGTAATAATTCTTTTTTTATGAAAAGTGAACTTATTGCTCATGTAAAAGAAAAACATCAAAATATAATTGGAAATAAAAATGCAGCATTTTGTTGTCCTTATGAAGGATGTACTAAAGCTTTTGAATATCCTTCTCATTTATTTAAACATTGTGCTGCACAACATCAAAAGAATGACTTTGTTTGTGGATTTGAAAATTGTTATGAAACATTTAATCGTGAAGAATTGTTGTGGGAACATATTTCTTCAATTCATGGTATGGATAAAGAAAAATATCAAGAAGAAAGAATTGAATGTCCAAAATGTGGTGTTATTGTATTAAAAAGAACTTTACAACAACACATGAGAAAAGCTCATACTGAAAAATCAATTTGTTTTAAAGATGATGGAACAATAATTACTGATGAAAAGAAACGATGGTTTGAATGTTGTAAGTAAATTATTTTGTATTTTCTTTTTGTTACAATTTAATGTATTTATCTTAAAATTATTGATTTTCTTCACTAAAAAGTGAATGTTTTCATTATCAAAATCTTTTTTTTTTCAAGATTTCAAAAGAACTCAAATTCAAAAAAGAATAATTTTGAATGACAACAACAGAAGGGAAAGGAAATGTAATAGATTTTATTCATAATGGTGAATGGACATTAGACAATGACAAAGAATTTCTTGAATACATGAAAGGAATCCATAATACAATATTAGAATCTTGTAATCAACTTACAACCCAAATACAAGAAGCAACAAAAAATATCAATCTCCTTGAATTACAAGTTCGATCAACAGGAGATAAATTTGTATATATTAGTCAATCTCAATATCTTGAAAATAAAGTAGCTGAATATGAAATCAAAGAAGATGATAAAAAAAGAAGTACAGAAATAAAAGATATTGAAGATGACAAATTATTTGAAATTGCACTTGAAAAAGGACTTCAAATGATTAATGGAATTAATATCAATGAAGGAAGGAATTTTGTTGATGAAATTGAGTATATTGGATATCCTCAATTATCTAAACAACAAGAACATAAGCAAGAGAATACAACAGAATCAAATCAAATAACTACTTCTGTATCACAAATTGGAGAAATTAAAACTGGAGAAATTCCACCACCACCACCATTACATATTGATTCAACAGGAAACCCAATTTTATCATCTTCACCAAGAATCAATTCTGAGAAACAAGAACAAGAAATTCAAGTAATTTCAAAAGAACAACAACAAGATGAAGAAACTACAAAGAAAATATCAATTATAGAAGAAATTAAACAAAAAGGATTCAGATTACCACAACCAGGAGATAACATAGATTCACCAACAATCATTTCTAATCCCAAAATTGAAAAGAAAGAAGAAACACTAAATAACAAAATACATGAATCTGAAAAGAAGGAAGAACAAATTGATGATGTAACTAAATTATTAATAGAATCAAAACATAAAAGAGAAACTACTTCAAATAAATTATCAAATATACTAAGTTTCGATGATGAAAGTGTTGATTTTAAAACAAAAACAATAGAAAAAAAGAAAGAAGATTCACAAAAAAAAGTAAAAGAAAAGAAGAAGAAAGTTGAATTTGAAAATTTATTTGATGACAAAGAAGATGTTGATGTTTTAGAAATATTAGCTTCTTCACTTGACACAAAAAAAGAAACTAAGACAAACACAACTCAACATCAAGATGAAAAGAAAAAAACATCAGAAGATTTTATTGATTTATTACTTGAAAAGAAAGTAGAAGCAAAAGAAAAGAAACCAACAAAAAAGAATAAGAAGATTGATGTTTTGTTTAATGATGTTAATGAAGAACTTGACTTCTCCCAACAAAACAAAACCCAAACACCAATAGAAAGGAAAGAGAATATTCAAGAAGAAAAAAAAGAATTAACTAAAATGAATCTAGATCCTTTATTTAGTGATGTTATAATCAACCAACCTGAAACCAAAAGAGAAGAGCCAACAACAACTCCACTATCTTCAGAAAAGAAAAAAGAACCCAAAATTCAAAACAATCAATCAAAACAAGAGATTACTAAGAAAGAAATAAAAGTAGATAATTTATTTGAAGATATTGGAATTCAATCCAACTCTCAACCAACTATGACTAATCAGAATAAACAAATATCAGAAAGAAAAGATAAACCAAAAATTGATAATCTTTTTGGAGAGTATACCATTAAATCTCAAGAAAATAAAGTTGAAAAGAAAACACCCACAACAGATGATCCATTGTTTGGATCAACAGTTCTTAAGAATGAAGTTAAAACCGAAGAGGAGTCTCACAAGAAGACTATTGACAATCTCTTTGAAGATGATAACACTCAAGAAAAGAAAACAGAGAATCAAACAAATCAAGACAAAAAAGGACCAAACAAACAAAAGAAAGAAATTGATGATATCTTTAATATTGAAACACCAACAAAACCATCTGATAATGAAAAAGTAACACCTCAACATCAACAAAACTCAAAAAAGATAGTTGATGATTTGTTTGAGATTGAATCAAAGACAAAAGACTCAACTAAAAAAATACAAGAACCTAAACAACACCACAAAATAGACATTGACAATCTATTTGAAGAACCAAAGATCATTTCAGATATCAATAATACAAAGAATAAACACAAAAAAACAAAAATAGATGATTTATTTGGAGACACAAAAGTAGAAGATACTGAACAAGTATCAACAAATGAAATAAAAGTAAAGGACTTATTAGAGGGTAGTCAACCAAAAGAGGTTAAGAAAGAAGAAACTAAAAAGCATGGACAAACAAAGAAAATTAATGACTTGTTCTCCCTTGATGATAACTCTAACCCACAAGAAGAAAAAAAGAAAAATAAGACAAAGACAATACAAGTTGATGAGTTATTTGAAGATGTCAATACAACAATAAAACAAACCAAACAACAAGAAGAAAAGAAAGACCAATCTAAAAAGAAGATAGAAAATATCTTTGAAGAAGAAACTAAGAAACAAGAAATAAAAATTCAAGGAAGTAAGGTATCTAGTAAAATTGAAGCATTGTTTTCAACAAAAGAAGAACCAAAGAAAAAACTAGTTAGTGATAATGAAACCAAAACAGAAAAAATGACAAAAACACAAACAAAAACTAAATTAGAAGGGATTTTTGGGAATAAACCAATCATGGGAGGACCAACACCAATAAGACCAAAACCAGTAGAACAGAAAATTGAAGAGGATAATGAAGAAACAATAGAAATTCGACATGATGGTAAAATTAGTAGAAGAACTGTATCGGGTCCAAAAGGAAGAAGAAGACCAACAATGAAAAAAGTTCAATTCGATGAACACACTGAACGACTCATAAAAGAAATCAATGACAATAAGATACAAGAAAATAATAAAGAAAGGATTCAAGATTTATTAGATGGCAAAGAAGTCAAACCTATTAGAATAGATGATATTAAAAAACAAGAGGATATTGAATCGACAAAAGAATTTCATGTATTAGATAAAGATAAAGAGGAAGGTACTGGGGATAGTGATGGGTTTATTATTGAAGATGACCAACCTTCAAAGATCATAAACATTAATTCTAAAGAAAATAACATTAAAGAAAATGATACTGAACATAAGGAACAAATAAAAAGTGGTGATACAACAATAATAGATGAATTATTTGAAGAGAAGGAAGAAGATAAAACAAAAGAAGAAGATATAATTAAGAAGTCAGAAAAACCAATTGATAATAGTAAAATCTGTTCAGAATTTGATTTTGATGATTTCTTTTAAGAAGAATAGAAAAAAACAACAAAATTAGTAATGTTTTAGATGTTATATTTCTATGGAGTTGTTTTAATTGTTAATCTTTTTTAAAGAAGTCTTAATTTATATAAAGGTACCACTAAATTATGTTTTGTTTATAAGAAAAATAAGAACTTAGAAGTATTTTGTGAACTTTCACTGGTTTTTCTAACTGTGAAATAAGATTATCTTTAATTTTATAATTGAACAAGAAAACAATTAATTTTATTTATTTCCCTCTCTATTCTTTTTTTTCTATGAGAAAAAGAATGACAATAACTCACCATGAGTTATTGCTTACAATTTAAAACAAAAGATGAATTTAAAATGATAATTACATTATTTTGATACTTTTAGAAATCATTTTAAAGATAAAATCAATCAGTATTATCTAATAAAAAACTATTTCTAAACAAACAAGAATTGAATAAAAAGTAATTTTTGAATATGATTTAAAAAAAAAAATAAACTCTAATTTCAATAAAAAACGATGTTGAATAAGTAGTAAGTAAAAAAAACTTAAAGACGATGGAAAGATATATAAATAAGATCGTGATTAAGTATAAGTATTAGTGATATTAATATCAAGCTATGATAAGTTAATCTTCATCAGTAAAAAAAGAAGATTTTCTAATGAAGGATTCCATATCAAAATCATCTTCTCGACGAAGTTTTTGCATTGGTGTTTCCATAGCATCAGCTAATAATGAGTCATGAGATAATGATGATGAAAAAGCAATGTCAGGAAGAGAATTCAAATTATCTAATGTTTTAGATTCTTCATCTTTAGGACTTAATTCTTTTTTAAATTCAGTAATACTTTCATTAGAATTTATTTTCTTTGGATCTGAAGTAGTATCAAATTCATACTCTGAATCATTGGAACTTGTAATATCAAGGGATCTAGTTTTAATAGAATCAACAAGATGATATTTCTGTCGATGAAGTTGTTGTGGAATATTTGTATGAGATATATCTTGATATACAAGATTAGGAACAGAACGATTTGGTTGTATTTGATTTAGATTATGTGGAAGATGAGGAGATTGAATTTGTTGAATCTTTCTAACAGATTTTGGTGATTGTTGAATTGGAGACATTTGTTGTAAATTGAATTGTTGAATTGGAAATTGTTGTTTTTTATAACGAGTATGAGGTGAAAGAGTATGAGGTGAATTTGATTGAGGAGAAGTATGATGTGGAGAAATAAATAATGGAGAAAAACTATAAGGAGAATTAGTTAATGATGATTGAATAGAAGGAGAAATTTGATCAGAACTTTGAGAAGAAGAAGAAGAATCTGATGGTGAATATAAAATATGAGAAGAGGTATAATCTCTTTTTGAAGTATCTCTTTTTTGTTTAAAAGAAGTAAGAATAGGAATAATATTATTTCTATCTTTAGAAGATTCAGTTATAATAGGTTTAATTGTTATTGAATTTAATGATTGAAAATGATGAGAAAAATCTTTTTTATTTGGAATTGTATTTTCAGATAATTCTACAACAATAATTTGACCATCCCAAACATTATTATTTTCTTTTTGAATAGCTTCTGATGGAGATAAAGTATTATCATATTTAACAAAAGCATAAGCAGTAGTTTCATTTGGTCGATTAATAACAGTAATACGTTCTATTTTACCATATTTTTTAAATTTACTTTCAATAATTTTTTGATTTGCTTGTTTTTTTGATAAATTCCCAATAAAAATTGTATATCTATCAGCTTGACTTGCACGATGAATTGGTGATCTTGCCCATTCAACAATATATATTTTTTTATATTTATGATACTATTTAATTATTATTTATATTATTTATATTATTTATTTAAAATAAACAAACATTATAACAACTAACTGCATCATCTCTATAAACAAATTTAACAAATCCACATCCTTTAGATTTTTTTGTTTCTCGGTCAAAAATAATTGTAGCTTCTTCTACTTGTCCAAATTTTTCACATTCTTGTTTAAATTGTTTTTGAGTCATTGAACTCCCCATTTTAGCAAAAAATAATGTCATTTGTGTTTTAGCCTTTTCTGTTCTTATTTGTTGATTATTAATAATAATAGGTCCTTGTTCAAGTACTCTAGTAACACCATGATCTGTAGCAAATTGAATATAAGCAATAAGTCCATGATTTGTTGTTTGTATAGTAATTCTCATAATAGTATCATATTTCTTTCTAATTAGTTTTTCTTACTAAATATTAAAGTAATAAATAAACAATAAACCAAATTATTTTGAAATATAAATGAAACCTGACCCCTCAATAAATAAATAAATAATCAAAAAATAATAATATAACAAACTGAAAAGAATTCTTTAAGTAAAGATTCATTACAACTTAATGGAAGATTAGTTACATACAATACACTTTGATCACATGGTGTAAATGGTTGCATTAAAAAAAAAACAAAGGAAGTTCAGTTCTATTTTAATTATTTAAATAATTGAATTTAGACAGAGAAAAGTATTTTAAGTTATTTTATTTTTTTTTTCCGAAAATCGTTAAAAAGAGAAAATAAAACAGAAAACATCTATTTGAAATAATTTTCCTAAAATATTTGTTTTTATTTTTTATTTTTTTTCTTCATTTATTTAGTAACTCTTTTCTTTTTTCCGTATTTTTTTTAAGTTTATTAAATTTTATTATTTAATTAATATTTTATATTTATTTTAGAAATAAAAAATAAAAAACAATTATTTTAATGAAAAAATAAAAAAAAAGTTGAAACCAAAAAAATATGTATAAATTAAAATTTAATTTTGATGAACAATAGGAATTTTAGATTCAGGATAATATTCTACCCTTAATAAATGCATATTAAACCATCGAAGATGCATTACAGAAAATGCTTTTTGTGCATCTAAATCAGTTTCACATAAAACATAAACAACTCCTTTTGGATGAATTAAATCAATAATAACATCTTTTACTTGACAATATTGTTTTAATTCTTCTAAAATATCATTACGTAATTCTTTTTCAAATCCAATAGATTCTTTTCCTTGAATAAATACATTTTGTACAAATAATGCTTTATAATGATTTATATTTTCTTGTCCAAATAAAGTACTAGTTCCACCTTGAATTCTTTTAAGTAATATTTCTTTACTTTTACTTTCAAGAAGTTGTTCATCTTCATTTGTAATTATATCATTTCCTTTTTCACAAATACTAAATACTTCCCATTTCATATTTCCAAATGATCTTCCATCATATAATTCAATTGCTCTTTTTGCCATTTTAATAGTATCATATTCAATCATTACATTATTTGATTCTTCTTCTTCTTTAATTTCTAATTCTATAATTTTTCCAGCAATACCAAATACTTTTTCAATATCTTCTCTACTTAATTGTTTATTCATATTTTTTACTTTAATTCTATTTGTTTGTAATTGTGTATTTGTAACAGTAATAGTATTTCTATTTTGTTGTGCATTTGATTCACTTACATAAATTGGTGAATTCTCTTTAAAAAACATTCCACTCATTTCTATTGCTTTTATTGCTCCTTCAATACTTTTAAATTCAACATATCCAAATCCTCTTGATCTTTTTGTTGTTGTATCAATTACTTGTTCAACATGAACAACTTCTCCTGCTTGATTAAAAAATTCTTTAATTTCTTCATTTGATGCTTCAGTTGTTAATCCACGAACAAAAACAGTTCTTCTTTCTTTTTCAATTTGTTGCATTATAGTTTCTTTATCATTAATTTCCTATATATTTATTATTATATTATTATATTATTATTAATTAACCAATATCAAACTTCTTCTTTTCTTCCTTTTTTTTCTTCTCTTTTTTCATATCTACTTCTATATTCATATCTTTCTTCTCTTCTTCTTTCGTGACTATTATAATTATCATATGATCTTTCTCTTCTTTCAAATCTATCATTATATCTATCTCTTCTTTCATTATTTCTATTAGAGAATCTATCTCTCTCCATATCTTTCTATTATATTTTTAAGTTCTTTTTATTATTTTCTCTTTTTAAAATAAGTGTTTTAAAGAATTTATAACAAGTAAGAACCAAAATAATTAACAATTACATTATTGTGAGGTTAATGACGATATTGTCAACCCATAACTCCCATTAATAAAAGAATTAACCCCTTCATTAGGACAATCTTCTATATCTCCAATTGATAATGATCCTTCTGTAGATTGAAGTTGTTGATTTGATTGGTTTGTTAAATCAACTATTGAACATGTATTATTAATATTCTGAGATTTCATGTATTGTGGTGGAATAATAGTTGTTGTATGAATTTCTGCTGATGGAATATAAAATATTTGTTGTGATGGATTTTGATACATTTGTATTGGTTGTTGAATAACGGTTTGTGATCTTGGAGATATATTTATTCTATCATTTGGAATTATTAATCTTGGAATATGGAATGAAATTCCTGTTGTTTGTTTTGGTTTTTGTATATTAAAATCATTTTCTGAAATAATAATTGGTTGAAATGAATTTCTAGGAAGTATATTTGGACTAGCAATTGCTTGTGAAACTTCCATTATTGTATTATAATTGAAATAAAATTCTTTTAAATCTTTAAAATCAATTGTTTTAATTCCTACACTTGTTTTTAATTTCTCAATAATTCGTTCATTTTCTTCAAGAATTTTTTTAATGTCTTTTGGTTGTTGTGAAATTGTTTGTTGAGTAATAATAGGACTTCCACAACTATTAAGTGGTGTAGTTGGATTTGATAATTTAGCTCTTTGATTAATAGGTTTTTTATATCTAGGTGATTCACATGGTGATTCCATTAAATCACGTGCTGATCGAGGTGAACGTGGTGAATTTTTAACTGAATGTGTAGGTGATTCTCTTCTACACCGTTCTGTTTTAGGTCGTGGAGATAATGTAGTTTTAATAAATTCATCCCAACTTAGTGTTATTGTTTTTTCTTTTGCTTTCATAAATTGGAGTCTTAATGAAATATCTCTCAATCTTTTTGTAGGTAAGTTTGTTAATAATAATGCTAATCGTTTAAACTCTGTATATTTTTCTGCTGGAAATGTTATCATATTTTGTTCAAGAATATTTTGTTCTTCTTCTGTCCATGTTGCAATTGTTTCTAATATATCAGAACTACTTGTTCGTGTATTTGATCGTACACGACTCATTTTTATGTTTTTTAGTTTTTTTCTAAAATTTTTTACTCTTTTCACACTTTTCTTTTTAGAGTTGTTCTGGTTACATTTTCTTCAATCATTTCTTCTAATTTATCTTTCATTTCAATTAATATTAATAAAAAATAATTTATTCTGATTAACTATTCTTTATTGATAATTCCTTCTTCAAATATTTCTCTCATACCTGTTAAAAAGAAGAGTATATCTATTACTTCTTTTCTATTTCCTTTCTTCTTTCTATAAATAGATTGAAAAATAAAAATAATAATTCTAACAATTTTTTAATTATTCAAAATTTCCTTTTTAATAGATCTAGAACTGAAAATAATGAAAACATATAATAATAATTTAACTATATAAAAGTAGTATTTAAAAAAAAAAAAAAAAAATAATAACACAAAATAAATAACATAATAATTAAGTTGAATAAAAAAGAGAAATAAAAAATGAACTTGAAAAGTTATCACGAAAATTACGTAGAAAATGAGTAAAACCACTGCTAAAATTTTATTAATAGGTGAGTCAGGAGTTGGTAAGACTGCTATGTTACAACGTCTTACACAAGGAACATTTGATGGAATATATACTGCATCAGTTGGTGTTGATTTAAAAACAAAAGTAATTAAAATTAATGAAGAGGAAATTACAATGGAAATTTGGGATGCTGGTTTGTTGTTATAGTAAAGTGATTTTATTTTTCTTTTTAATAAAAATATTCATATTAAAAAGCTGGACAAGAAAGATTTAGAAGTGTTACACAATCATATTATCGTGGAACACATGCAGCTATTATTGTATTTGATTTAACTGATAAAACATCTTTTGAAATGGTTTGTTTAAAAAAAAGTCTTTGATAAAAGAAAATAATAATATTTAATAAAATATAGGTTGGATATTGGTTAAGTGAAATGGAAAAAGATAATAATCATCCAATTATTGCTTTAGTAGGTAATAAATCAGATTTATCAAATGCAAGGACAGTTCCAATTGAAGTTATTAGAGCTACTTATCCATCATTAAGGTATTTTGAATGTAGTGCAGTGAATGGAAAGAATATTGAAGAAATATTTGTTTTCATTGCACAACAATTTGTTCAACGAATGAAATCAAATACTGTAGTCGAATATAAAGAATTTCAAACAAATTGTTTTGAGTCAAATATTGTTACCGAAGATCAATCAATTACTATTAAAACAATTCATAATGAGAATAAGTGTTGTTAATTTCCAATTCATCTTACATTGATATTGTATATTAAATAATATTTATATACTTCTTTTTATTAAGTAAAAAATATTTATCAATCATTAATAAAAATAAAATTTATTTAATTTTTTTTTTTTAATTTTATATTTCATTTGAAAAAAAAAAAAAAAATTAGAAACATAATAATACTCAATTTAAATAATTATTCTTTGTTATTTAAAACTTTACCAAAACTGCATCTAATCCATTTTTAACTAAATCAGTTTCAATTCCTTTGACATAATTTTGTTGTAATTTACAAAATGCTTGTTCCATTATTTTTTGCATAACAGCATCTACATTTTCTAATTTTTCTACGTTGAGTATCTCTTGTATCATTAAGAAGTGTAAATCAACTAAACATTGTACCCAAACAATACATATTGCTGTAAATTGATCTGGTTGGAAAATTGGAGTATCTCCAAAGAAATTTGCAACAGAAGTTCCAACAACTCCTTTTAATAAAAAATCTTGAATAACTTTAGTTGCAATTTTTACAGAATGATAATCTTCAAGATCCCATAATTTATTTAATTTTGTTAATAAATTCATAACTCTTTTTAATTCAAGATCATTATCATTTCCTAATTGTGAATGATAATCACTAATCATTCTTTTACTTAATTCAATTTTATGTGTTATTGATAATGATTGTCCTGAAACAAATCCTGATTTCATTGCATCAGGTAAGAGTTTAATTGTTAATTCAATAACTTTATCATATTCATCTATATTAGGCCTTGTAACTATTGATTGTTCATAACCACAATTATTACAAAATACAACACATTCTTTAATAAATATATAAATATCATTACTATGACATTTAGTACATTTTGTAGTACTAATTCTTTTTGTTTGTTCTTCAGCTAAAGAAACAGTAGCAACAACTCCAACACATTTTTCAAATTTAAATGATTCAATTTTATTTTTCATTTTTATTAATGATTCATCACTAACTAAATCTGCTTTATTAATAATAATAATAAGTGGAATATCAAATAATGTTCTACAAATTTCTTCGTCTGTAATATCAAATCTTGATGTTGTTGCATCAATAACATACCATACACAATGAATACGATCAATTCCTTTATGTGCATCAAGAAATCCTCTTGTTTCTTCCCAAAAACCATTTTCTGTACTTAATTCAATTCCTTTAGCATCATATAATACAATAGGTTTATTTGTATGAATATATTTAGTATAATATTTAGTAGGACTAATTTCTCCAACTTGTAATTTATTACTAAAAAATCTTTGTGCTAATGATGTTTTTCCACATCCACTTTTTCCACATAATAATACACCAACTCTACTTTTAATAACACTTTCTTCATATGCTCTTCTAAAACTAGATAATAATGGTTGACTACTTTCTAATAATAATGAATCTAATTTTTTTTCTACAACTTCAATATGTAATGGATCAACTTGTTCTAAAAAACTTTTTTTAATATTATCCATTAAATTTCTAAAATCAATTCCTCCACCATCAGTCATTAAAAATTCAAAATATGCATTTGATCCTGGTGATTGTCCTACTCTATAACTTACTACAAATTTCATTTGTGTTTGAATTTGATAACAATACATTGAATAACATGTATGTGTATTTCTTTTACACATAACATGATTATTTTCAAGAATAGAATGCATTAAATTCCATGCATTATCAATTGTTACAATAACTGGATCAATTGTAATTCTTCTTTTAATAAATGATAATGACATAACAATATCACTTTTAGCAAATGATGAATCAATTACTTGTTCAATAGAATATCTTTGTTCTGGATCAATAACAAAAATATGTGAAATAAGTTCTTGAATATCTGGTGGTAAATTGTCTGGTAATGAATAAACTGCATTTTTTATTAAATTAATTGTTTCTTCTGGATCTTTTGAATAAAATGGATATTTTCCTGTTAACATTCTTACTAATATAACTCCAATACTCCATATATCAGCTTTTTTTCCTCTATAACAATGATCTTGTAATTGTTCTGGTGCAATATGATATAATGTTCCAACTACAGCTGATTCAACAAAATCCCAATCAGAAATAACAACAACACTATGTCCAAAATCACAAATTTTCAAATTAATTCCATCTCTATCTAATATTAAATTCTCTAATTTTAAATCACGATGAATAACTCCATTATCATGACAATATTTAACTCCACTTAATAATTGTTTAAAAAAATTTCTTGCAACTGGAATACTAAATGGTGAAATAGCTACATGTTCAGCTAAAGATCCTCCAAGACATAATTCCATTACAAAATATAATTGTTCATCATTTTCAATAACTTCTTCTAATTTAACAATATTAGGATGATTTAATTTTCTTAATGATGCAATTTCATTTTCAAGATGTTCTAAATTAATTCCTCTTGATTTATAAAATATTTTAATTGCTTTTTTTTCTCCTGTTCTTCTATTAATTCCTAATCTAACACATCCTTCACTTCCTTCTCCTAATTTTCTTTGTAATTCATATCTTCCTACAAGTCTAATATCATTTCCTTCTGCTTTCATTTTATAATTTTTTGTAATTAAATTTGCTAATAATGAAAATTCTGCCATTCCAAGATAATTATTTCCTTCATAATTATATGTTTCAAATAATATTTTTGCTTCTTCAAAAATTGTTTGTGGTTTACATTCTGGAAGTTCACATAATATATTTTCAATTGTTATTCCATCATCATTTAATACATCTAACATAAATTCAAGATCTTCAATATCTATTTTTCCACATTTTTTAGTATCAATTAAATTAAAAAGATATCTATTAAATGCTTTACATTTTTGATCATTTGCAACTACTCCAAGAAATTGATGTTTCATTTCTTTATCAAATAATGACCACATTAATGATATCCCTTGTGAAACTCCTTTAATAATTTGTTTAGGTGGTATTTGTACTAAATTACCATTATTTGAATTAACTGGAGACATAGGACATGGTGATTGTGATGGAGTTAAAAAAGGTGTTGAAACTATTTGTGAATTTAAATTTGATGTAGATCCTTCTTTACTTTCAAGAAGAGTTGGTGTTTTACTAACAGTAATTGGATCAACTGAATTATCTCCAAGTCTCATTTTAGGTAAAACTTGTTTTATTTCACGTTCTTTAATTTTTTCTTTCTCTTTTTCTTCTGCTCTTTTTTGAAGGTCTTGAACATTATCTATTAATCTTTTAAAATCTTCAAATGTTAATTTCCCATCTCCTCCTGAATCATACTATTTATTAGTTCTTTTTTGATGTATTTGTTTTGAGAATATAAAAAGTTAAGTTCTTATAATGAAATATTAAAAAAAAAAAAATTATATCAAATAAATATATACATTCTAAAAAATTATAAAAAATCAAACTAAAAACATCATAACTGGTGAATGACAGACAGTAGGAATCATAATATCTTCTCTAACTAAATCAGAAAGAACTAAATACCCTTTTCCTCCATTGTCTAATTTGTCAAAAAGTTCTTTGACATGTGATAATCTATTTCCCATCTCTCACTGATATTTATAGTTCAACATGAAAAAAAGATTTTTAAAAATTTGATTCAATCTTATTGGTACTTTTTTTAGAAAATTTAATAATAAAAAAAAAAAAACTATTCTCAGAAAAACAAAATCTTTAGTTTTAAAAACAAAAATAATCAATGGAATTTTTAAAAGATTTTAATTTTTTTGGATTTTGAAAACATTCTTTCTTTTCTCAATAAAACATCTTGATAATTTAAGTATTCATTAAATATGTCTCAACCATCTCATTCTATACCTTTAAAACACTCTATTCTTTCTAATGAAGATATAGATTATGATGACCATATAACTCAAAATTTTGAACAATATAAATTTACTAAAACACAAAGTCCTTTACCACTTAATGGTGTAAGAAGAAGAACTGCACCACTTTCAGCTGATATGGGAGGAACAATGACAAAAATAGTCTTTTGGATTCCAGGAGATACTGATATTGATCTTCCAAAATATGTTGAACCAGAAGAATCAGTAATGTCAGGGTTTGATTTATACCCCGATCCTGTGTTAAAAGTTACAAGTTTGTTTTGTTATTAAAATTCATTATAATACTCTTAAATTAAAAAAAAAAGAATTGTTTTAAATGAATAATAATAATGGGTTTAAGTGAATTCAAAAGGAGAAAATGAACTTTGTTTTATGAAATTTCCAACATCACAAATTCCAGAATTTATTCATTATGCAAAAACATCTAAATTAAAAGAAATTTATGGAATTGGTAATCTTCAAATTTTAAATGTAACAGGAGGTGGTGCTTATAAATTTGCTAATTTATTAAAAGAAGAAATGGATCTTGAAGTACGTCAACAAGATGAAATGAGATGTCTTGTTCTTGGAGTGAATTTTTTGTTATTATGTTGTCAAGAAAAATTATGTTTTAGATTTATTAATAAAATAAAATTATATAAAGAAGTAACTCCTGAGATTTTCCCTTATTTACTTGTTAATGTTGGTAGTGGAGTATCTATTCTTAAAGTTTGTTTAATTTCATCATTTTAATTAACTTCAATATTATATATATTAAGAAGATATCCAAAAAAAAAAAGAAAGAGTTGTTTATTTATTTAGGTTATTGCACCAGAGAAATATGAACGTGTTTCAGGATCTTTAATTGGAGGAGGAACATTTTGGGGTTTATGTTGTTTATTAACAAATTATAAATCATTTGATGAAATGTTACAAGCTGCACAATATGGACAACATCAAAATGTTGATTTATATGTTAAAGATATTTATGGAAGATGTTATGATAGTGTTGGACTTGCTGCTGATATGATGGCATCTTCTTTTGGTAAAATTCAAAAAGTACCATGTGGAGAAGCAAAAAATCATTATAGTGAAGCTGATATTGCTCAAGGATTAATGATGATGGTATGTGGAAGTATTGCACATCTTGGATTTGAATTATCTAAACTTTATCATATTAATCGTATTTTTTATACAGGAGGATTTGTTGCTCATAATCCAGTTGTTTGGGAAGCAATAACTACAATGTTAACAACATGGTCTTCAGGTTCAGTTGATGCTCATTTTCTTGAATATGATGGATATTTTGGTTCAATTGGTGCTCTTCTATTATCTGAATATGAAGAAGAAATAATGTAATAGAATATACTTTGACTATAATTTTCTATTCTTTTTTATCTTTTTTAAACCTTACAATTTGACTTTTTTTTTTTTTTGAATAAAATTATCTTTAAATTTTCATAAGAAAAATGAGTGATGGAATAATTCCATCAGAAATTGATAAATTATTAATTCAAATTACTACATACAAAAATCCTTTCAATGTTATTGGTGTTTTACCTGAAGATGATAATGATACTATTCATAAAAAATATCGTAAAATATCATTAAAATGTCATCCAGATAGATGTCATCATCCTTTATCAAATACAGCTATTTCTTGTTTATCTAAAGCAATTAAAGCAATAGAAGATGAAGACCAAAGAAAAAAATATACAGATTTAATGGAACAAGCTAGGATTCAGTTAATGACAGAATTAAAAAATAAAGGAGAACTCTCAAAAATAAATACAAAATCAGATGAATATCGACAATTATTATGTGAATGTTGTGAAAAAATAATGACTGAAACTGAATTAAAGTTAGAAAAAGCAGAAAAGATTAGACAAGCTAATTTAAAAAGAGAAAAAGAAGAATTACAACATCAAGAAGAAATTCAAAAATTACAAAAACAACAAGAAGAAGATTGGGAAAAATCTAGACAACAAAGATTTAATAATTGGAGATCTTTTATGTCTAAAAAGAATAAATCATTAAATAGTAATGAACATAAACCAATAAAACCACCTAAAACTACATTAATGAATTAAATTATTATTTTTAATTTATTTTATAAATTTTTATTTGATCAATTATTAAAATGAATCAAAATTTTCATCATTATTTCCTTCTTCAAATTCATCTTTCATTTCTAATTTCATTTGATTAATCATTAATTTAAGATTATTCATAGAATCTAAAATTGATAATTTTTCTGAACAAGGTTTTAAAACATTATCAATAATAGGAATTTCTTTTTCAATATCTATATTATTTGATTGAATTAATTCTTTAAATTCTGTTGTTGGAATTATTTTAATATCATTTTTTATTTTTTCTTGTTTAATCGGTATAGATTTTTGTTTTTGTGAATCAGATAATATTTTCATTTTTGCACGTTCTCTTTTTGCTTTTTCATTTGTTGTCATAATTTTAATCTTTGTTTGTCTTCTTGGTTGGGGTTTTATTTGTTTCTTCTTAATAATTGGTATTTTAAAATCATTTTGGTTATTTATTATTTGTTTACTCATATCATTTTCTTGATTATTTTTTTCAAGAGAAATAGGTTGAGATTCTAATAACTTTTTATGATTATTTCGTTCATTATCAAGTTGTTGTTTAATTTCTTTATTTTCATCTTCTAAGAATTTTACTTTCTTTTCGTATGATTGTACCATTTCAGAAATAATATGTTCAATTTCTTCTATTATCTGAGAAGATACCTCAAGAAATTCTTTTTGGGATTGGTTAATTTGTTTTAATTTATTTATTGTTAGTTGGACTTGTGTTGATGTTATTCCCATTTCATTTTTGAGTTCAAAATATCTAATTTTTATTGAGAAGAAAAAACAAATATTTGAGGATCTCATCTAAAGAAAAATAGTCATTATAATTAAAGTATGTATCATAAACAATGAAAAAAAAAAGTGTTCATGTCCTGTGAAGTTGTAGAACACCCATTGGCTTTTTATTGGACTTTTTGGGTTGATAATTTTAATGATAAAAATGGTACATTTGAAGAATATATTGACAACTTAAAGGAGATAGTTTCATGTAATTCTATTGAAAGTTTCTGGAGGGCTTTTGGTTGTCTTCCCTCACTTGAACTACTTCAAGATCAAAAAATATCAATACATTTTATGAAAGATGGGATTAAACCATGTTGGGAAGATAAAGAAAATAAAAGTGGTTCAACAATTACAATTAAATGTGAAAAGGAAGTAACTAGTAGAATTTGGAAAGAACTTTTAATTGATGTAATTTCAAATCAAGAAAAACAATTATCAGATTATGGGATTATAAATGGAGTTTCTATCTCAATAAAGAAATTAAATAACTTAATTATTGTCTGGACAAAAACAACATCAATAATTGCTCAAAACCAAATTACTAATTATCTCATAACTCGTTTTCCCGAATTAAAAGAAGAAGATGTGTTTTTTAAAGAGAATAAACAACATTCCTCTTTTGCTTCTAATAAATAATAAAAATTATAACACAATGTTCAGTTAAATTTTAACTAATTTTATTTTCTTTTCTGTTTTAAATTTAAATTCATTTGTAAAATAAATCACTGATTTCTTTGTAATAATAGCTATAAATTTTTCTTTTTCATTAACAAAACTACAACATGGTAAATATGATTTATCTAATTCAAATGAATCTTTTGCTTTATTTGGTCCTGGTTTTATATTATCAAATGCCATAATCTTAGTACTTATATTATTTGAAACACAAACAATATAATAATTTGCAATATGTTCAATAAAAATACATTCATCATAATTATTATCAAATTTTAAAATTATTTGATTATTTGTTTTCATTATAAAACTATGAATAATTCCTGTATCTCCAATTCCAATAAATGCTGTATTATCTTTCATAATTTTTATAAATTTAATAGTATTTTGACAATTATTAAAAGGGAATGTTGTAATAGGAATTGTTGATATAAAATTAATAGTATTACCATTAATTGTAGATGCAATAAGTCTGTTATTAGGAAATCCAATTTCAACAAATGATGAATTTTCTATAAATTTATTCCATTTAATAGAAAAATCTTTAATTGAAAGTTCTATTAAATTATTTTCAAGAAGTACATAAAGTTCATTATCATAAACTTGAACCCATTTTATTTCTTGTTTAAAATTAAGTCTTTTTAAATGAGAATTAATATCATCTTTATAAATAATTGCATGATTACTATTAGCTTTTCTTTCTTGTATATCAAATTTATGAATATAAACTGTACATGGTGAAGTATCTTTTGAAGCAAAACAACAATATCCAATAGTTTTTTCATTAATTAAACATATTGATTTAATATATGGAATTTTAATATATATTTGTTTGATAATACAAATATAATTTTCATCAAAATATTCTATTCTAACACCTTCTTCATCACAAAATGCAATACTATATTGATTTATATTTATTTTCTTATTATTTTGAGTCATTTCTTTTTTTCTTTTTCTTTTTTTTTTTAAGTTCTACTTTTTATTTATTTTTTTTATTTTAATATTTAAATTTTTTAATTCTTAAAAATTATTTTGAAAAAAAAAAAAAAAGAACTTCAAATAGTAAAGAACAAATCAATAAATGAATTTCATTGTCTCTTTATTTTTCTTCATTATATTTTCATTTGCCCATGAAACAAAACCAATTCTTCTTGTTTTACAATTTCAAAAACAAATTGATTCATTTTCACAATTGATTTCTATGTTAAAGAGTTTGTAATAATTTATCAACACAATCAAGATTTAATGATTACCCACAATTTAGATGAAGGAAAATTAGTTGAAACAGTGGATATGGATACTCCTATTGTATTTGAATCATATGGTGAATTTAATTATGAAACTGTTTATATATTAGCTCCAAAATATAATTTTGTCCATATAAAAAAACAAACATTAAAATCATTCATTGCTAAAGGAGGTAGTGTATTTATGGCATATTCTCCTGTTTATACTAAAGAAACTAAATCATTCCTTGAATTATTTAAAGTAAAATTATCACCATCAACTAATATTATTGAAAATAATATATCAACTATTTCTAATTCTCTTTTCCCAATGACTACTATTTATTATCGTGGAATTAGTTTTACATTACCTGATTCAAATGCATTTGTACCATTATTAAAGTCAACATCAAATGATATTCTTTCTTTTACTTTTCAAAGTTTAACAAATGGAAGATTAGCAATACTTGGAAGTATTGATATGTTAAATAATAATTATTTTGAAAAAAATAAACAATTTATTCAACCTCTTCTTCAATGGTCAATGAATATTCATGGTAAATTACAACTTAAAAATATTCAAATTATTAAAATTGATGGTGTACCTGATATTGAAAATGAAGGTATGTTTTTCACTAATGATACTGTTACTGTTTCATTTGATATTGAACAAACAATGAATGGAATTGTTAGTGGATATATTGCAGATGATGTTCAAGTTGAATATCGTTATGTTACTCCTGTTATTTTAGATTTTGCACAAAACTTAAAGAATGGTTCATATTCATTTACTACTGTTCTTCCAGATCAATTTGGTGTTTATACAATTAAAATAAATTATACGTTTGTTATTTTTTATATATTTTATTCTCTTTATTCATTTATTCTAGACGTCCTTTACTTTCTTCTCTTCATTTTGAAAAAGTTACACCAATTAGACCATGGAGACATGACCATGTTGCTCGTTTCCAATATCAATGTTATCCATTTTATCTTGCTTTCTTTGGCATGTTAATTTCTACACTGATCTTTGTTTTCTTCTATTTGAGTTACAAAGAACTTCCTAAAAATATCAAGACTGATTAATACCAAAATATTTCTTCTTTCTTGTCAATACATTTCTTTTTGGTTTATCTTTTCTTATAGAAATATCATTTAAATTTTTAATCTCTATTAACTTTTTTGTTGTATCCCTTCACTTCTTTTCTTAATCATGAAAACAGTATAGTTCACAAGATAATTTTTTCTTTTGTTTCAGATATATCTAGTTAGAGACTTACTCAATTTTAATATTTCATGTTGTCTTCAATCTACAATGAATTGAAAATGGTTGTAGTTAGAGAAAATAAAAGTATCATTTAATTGTAAAATTAGTTAGAGAATACATCACTAATAACCAAGTTCTAATAAATAAATATATATATATCACTGAAAGAGATATTATATCATTAAATGAATGCTATACAAATACTAACAAAGAGATGATAAGTAATGTCTAGTAAGTATTTCCTTGATTAGATATAAAATAATAAGTGGTTTTACGTGTTGATTCTTTTTCAGTAAATACTAGAAATAAGGAAATAATACTGTACATAAATGAAATTTTTAATAATGTTTAGTCATAACAACTTATGTTTTTAATTAAACAACATTCTTTAATCTTCATTAAAATATAATATTGTATATTATTGAACTGGATTTATTAATTAAACATTGATAATACTAGAATTGTTATTAATTGTTTATTTCTTCATAAATTGTTATTATTAGTTTAGTCTACACTATCACTTAGTGGTTATTAACTAACCACTGGTTTGTGTTCGTATCACAGTCATTTATTTCATAAAAACTAATCATTATAAGAGTTATTATAAGAGTTATGGTAATAATTTAAAATTATTAAAATAATAAAACAAGTAATAAATAGAATATTAAATTGTTTAATTTAAATAAAAATAAATAAATATATAAATATATATTCAACATACAATAAAAACAAAAAAAACATTCAGGCATTATTATTGAACCTTAAATCTTTGTAAGTTAAGAAAAGATTAAAAAAAACTAAAGTGATATTCAGACCATATTTGGGTAGTGTTATAAACAAAGAATAATAATAAATTATTTGAAATTGCAGAGCATTGTTTAGAATAAACATATAATGTTTTAATAAGTAAATAAGAGTATAACCTCATAAAAATAAAAAAATTATACAAAATAAAACAGATATTACTAATAAAGCACTAAATAGATTGAAGCTAATACAAAAAAACTAAAATTTATTTTATGAAATTATTAAATGTTAGAAATTAGTTTATTTTTATGGACAGAATGAAAACAGTTATTTTAAGATAATTAGAATAAATTTAAATTATTTTAACATAGTTATAACAACCAAATATTAACAGACTCATGAACGGCTTCATGTAAAAGATTATTAATATAAAATTTTAATAAGAAGTTATAGAACCAAATACCAACTGTTATAATAAAGAAATAATAAATTTAAAAAATAACACTTAATAAATTGTTTTTTTGATAGATAAGAAATACAAAATAAAAGAAATTTTTTGTTAATAAAAAGATAACAAAGAGATTAAGAGGTATTTAGAATGAATTCCTCATAAGAAGTTCTACATGGATCCATAACTTTCTTTTACTTTATAAAAATAAAATCTTGATTTTTTCAAACACACAGCAGACGAAAATTCAAAATTAACAACACCAATTTCTAATGTTTCAAATTAATTCTTAAGAAAAGAAGTTCTAAGTTATTCTATTCTTTTCTTACTTCTTTTGACTTAACCCTCTGGGATTTTTAATCAAAAACGACCTTATCTTTAAAATTATATAATGATTACTCTCATTGTTTCATTACTTAGTGTTGTAGCTTATTCTTCTACCTCTGACGTTTCATGTCCCTCAGCCTATTGTTCTTCATGTAATAGTCAAGAATGTACTGAATGTATTGATAATTATGTTTTAGTTGAAGGACAATGTGTATATGCTAGAACTGCTATTGAACATTGTTATAAAGCTAAAGACAGTAAATGCGTAAAATGTTTTGATGGTTATTATCTCAAAAATCAACAATGTATTCCTGAAGATAAAAATTGTGATGAATATGAAAATGGAATTTGTAAAGAATGTGAAGATGGATACACCCTTGTTAATGGTACTTGTACTGCTTGTTCAATTAAGGGATGTGAAGAATGTAAACATGGAATTGATTCATGTAATGAGTGTGAAGATGGTTATGAATGGAATGGAAGTACTTGTACTCAACCTGTTCCAAATTGTGATGACTTTGAACATGGAAAATGTACTGAATGTATTGATGGATATATGCTTAATGGACAAACTTGCGAAAAAATTCCTATAGAGAATTGCAGAAAATATAAAAATGGAGTTTGTGTCAAATGTTTTGGACCTTATAAACCAATTAATGGAACTTGTACTGAGACTATTGCCCAAATAATTGAACATTGTATTGAATATGATGACGATGAATTTGAATGTGAAGAATGTGAAATTGGATATACAGTTGATAAGTCTGAAACTAAATGTATTCAATGTGATCCATCTTGTAAGACCTGTGAAGATTATGCAAATAAATGTGAAACATGTAATGAAGGGTATTATATAAAAGACCATTCATGTATTAGATGTAGTATTCAATCCGATACTTGTGGGGATTATAAAAATGAAAATCAATGCTATTCTTGTAATAATAAATGTAATTGGTATAACAATGCCTGTGTTGAATCTCATTGTACTAAAATGGATGTTGATGATGATGAAGCTGAATGTCAACAATGTGAAGATGGATATTATTTAGAAGAAGACCAAAAGATATGTATTAAAGGAGATGGGTGTTTAGAAAAGAAAGGAGATAAATGTGTTAAATGTTCACAAGGTTTCTTTATAACTTCAGATTTTAAATGTTTAAGATGTAGTGACGATTGTAAAACATGTTCAAATACTGCATCAAGTTGTCACTCATGTTTTGATAAAAGTTCTGGTATAAGTAAAGTATCATGTAGTAAATGTTTTGATCCTCATTGTTTAGAATGTGATGAAAGTCCAATGGTTTGTACAAAATGTAATGGTAATTATACTGTTAATGAAATCGGACAATGTCAAATGGGTTGCTTCAAAGAAGATTTAGAAAATAAATGTACAATGTGTTCCGATAGACAAAATGAAATGAATATTTATTATCCCCCAACTGATGAAGGAATTTGTATGAGTTATTCTAAAATGCCAAATACTCCATCGGCTGAAGATTCTTCAATTTCCATTTTCATTACTTTTATTGGATTTGCAATCTTCTTAATCTTCTAAGAAATAATCAATGAAATTAAATTGATTTACTTCTTTTTTTTTTAAGTTATTATTTCTTAATACTCCTTTTCTACATCTTTATAATATTTTACATTTAACTTTTATTGAATTTAAACAAAAATATCGGTTTTATTTATTTCTTTCTTTATTAATTCTCACTGAATAAACTCTTTATATGAAGCAATAACTCTTCTCATGATTAAATCATTCAAAGAGAAGAATACTACAAAATAACTCTACTCTAAAAAAAACAAAAATAAATAAAACCAAAAAACAAGTTGAACACAACCCCAGATTAAGCTTGAGATCCTGAAGTGCTTCCTTTACCAGATGCTCTCTTAACAGCTGATTGTCCTTCAGAAACTGCATGTTTATTCAAATCACCTTTAAGAATGAGTTTAGTAGCTGTTTCAATTTCTTTGACAGTGATTGTGGTTTTATTATAATTTCTTGCAAGAGATGAGGCTTCAGTAGCAATTCTTTCAAAAATGTCACGAACAAATGAATCCATAATAGAAATAGATGGAAGTGTAATTCCAATATCTTGGAAAACTGATTTCAAAACTCTTGAAATGTATAAAGCATATGACTCAAAATTCTTCTTGAGCATAGTTTTCTTTTCTTCATCTCCAGCTTTTTTTGGCTTGGTAGCGTCTTTAGTAGCAACAGATTTCTTTTGACTGGCTTTGTCTGACATGAATTTAAAAATTCAATTTGATGTTTTCAAGTTCTCTTTATTCTTTTAAATCTTCTCTTTTTGTCTTTTTATCTGTTTCAGATTCTTGAACCCTAGTTGGCGATTTGGGAAAATTAAAAACCTATTTTTTAATAGTTCCTTTTTTAATATTTTTCTGTTTCTTTTATCATAATTATTCTTTTTCACTTTTTCATGATTTCCTTCAAACCCTAATTATTTTTTTATCTTTTCATCTCTTTTTTGGAAAAACACAAAAAAATTAAAAAAAACATTTTCTTAAAACAATAAAAACGAAATAACTGAATCTCAAAAAGTTTCATGAAATTTTCAATTTACAATATAGTTATTCATAAAAATCAAATAATAAGTTTTTTTCTATAAAAAGTGGTTTCCTAAGAAAAACTATAATTATAGTAAAATAAATAATTAAAATTAATAAGAATAGAAATATAAAAATAATTAATGAGAACTAATAAATTTTCATAATTTCTAAAAGAAAATGAGAAGTCTTTTATTACTTTGTTTATTCGTTTTTATGATCAATGCCCAATTCACTACTCAAGAAAACGTTCAAGAACCAGCTCAACCAGTAGTTCAATCTAGACATACTCACATTGCTTCTGCAAAAAAACTTAACAGAGTTGATAATTCAATTTTAAGAAAAGAAGCAAGAACCCTTCACAAAGTTCATAAGTACCATTTAAAAATTAATGCCAAGCTTGATAAGACTATTGCTGTCATTAACAAAGCAAGAAACGTTATAAGGACAAAGGGTGAAGGATTAGCAAATAGATTAGCTAAGTATGGAACAAGAAAACTTGGACATTTAATGGAATATTACAATATGGCTGATGATGATCTTAAACAACAAATTAAACCAATTGTTGATGGAATGGTTAGTGCTATTAGACAAAAAGAACAAACGGTTCGTGCTGGTATTCAAAAGTTAGTTACTACATTCTATGCTGTTCTTGATAGAACTCTTAAACAATTGGCTTATGCTAAACAAGTTGGTGATGCTAATAACAATGCAGCTAAAACAGGTATTCATGCTATTGGAGACAATATTTCTAAAGGACTTAAAACAAAACAAAGTTCATTTGAAATTAACACCCATAATTTAAGAAAAGTTAAACGTATTTCAAAAGGAGCTGAAAAACAAATTGCTCATGAATATCATAAAGCTGAAAAAAAAGAAATTGCTATTCTTAAAACTGCTAGAGCACTTCTTAAACAAATGAGAAGAAAAGGAAAACATGTTTTCTCTAAATTAAGACATCAAGCAAAAGCAGAGTACAGAGCTCTTTATAGAAAATGTACTAAGAAAATTATTAAAATTTTATTAAACCAAAATGGTGGTGTTGAAGATTATGAGTACTAAATCAAAATTTACCTAATTTAATTTGTGGCTTCTTCTTTAGTTAATAAATTTTAGTTTTCATATTTATTGTAATTTTTACTGTATCTTTTACATTATTTCTTATTAATTAACTAGAAATATTCTTCTTAATGATTCAATTAATTATTGTTCTAAACATCTTTTCCTAATTCAACTTTCTTCTCCAATGAATGAATAGACTCAAAGACTATAGCATCAAATAATTGGAATGTTGTAAATATTCCACCAACAATAGAACAAATACCAATTAAGAAATGAAGGAATCCATGATTTGATTCTGTTACCTCCAATACCATTGGTGAAACATCGTAATAAACAAATACTCCAGGTGAACCTTCTCCTTCTCCGCTTCTAATATTTTCTTGAATAGAATAATCATAAAAAGTAGATGTTCCATTAATAAAGTTATTTTTAATAGGAATAATAGTTAAATAGTACTGGAACATACTATTCATTTGAGTGTCTTTCTTTTCAGTAGTAAATTTCTTACTATGTTCACCAAATGAAAGTTCATTCCATTTATGAGAAAGGTCAATCTGAGTTTTCCCAGTCCATTCAAGGTTATGGGAATGTCTACCCCATGACTGTTCAGAACTTCCAGGCGCAATATGGAAATTCCCTCCAATCTTGTTTAACAAGAAATCCCCAATTACTCTACAACCTTCATCTTTTGTCAACCTTGCCATCTGTATCTTTTCATGGTTTTGGCATTGTGAAACTATATTCAAATCTAAACGCCACCCTTTCTTTTTGTATGCCTCTTTAACATCATCACAAGTAAAACAACACTTTTTCTCTGGTGTTTCAGCTCCATAACATGAACGACATTCCTTTGGATCATGGGTTTCAGTAGATAACTTACTTTGGATGGCTTTCATTTCGCTTTCAGTAACTAAAGATCCATCATGATGAATACGTATTTTTGTAACATTTTGTTCAATATCAATCATTGACTCTCCTGATTTTGTAAGAATATCAACTGACGTAATTGGGCAAGACGAATAAGGAAAAGTTATATCAAAATGAACAGGTATTTTAGATGAACGATCTCTGTCAACTAGTAATTGAGGAACTACTTCTCTTTGAAGATAAAAAGTAAATTCTGCAATTGATAATATTATAATTATAACCACACAAATAATAGTTAAAAATCCTCCAAAACAATGACGGGTTCTCAAATCTTCAGGCAACTTACCGTAGGTGTCAAACCTTTTCATTAAACAATTTCACTTTTTGGTATAGTTTTTTAGATTTTGATTTTTTCTTTTTTCCTAAACTATTAATAAAAAATTAAAAAAAAATCATGAACGGATTATGATTAAATCATGCAAACAGATGACATCCTCCAAATGGTAATGAGGAAGTTATTGGAATTAACACTCAAAGTTAAAAGTCTTAGTGAGACAGTAGGGGTACTTGAAAAGACAGTATTAGAAATGAAAAAAACTCAAATTACAACTGAACTTGAAAATCGAGCACAACGATTACTTTCAGCAAGTGCTGAGCAATGTAAAAAACTTGAACATGTTCTTAGCCAAGCACAGAACGACGTAACAAATAGTATAGAAGAAACAGCACAATTGTGTAATGATAAATTAATTGAAGGTATAGAAGCTACATCAACAAGATTAACATATACAAAGAGAGATATGGTTACTACGAGATTAAAAATTGAAGAGTTAGAGAAGGCAAGTTTTAAAATTAACAGATTGTTAAGAATGAATGATTTAGCACAAATTTCTACAAAAGGAAGTATTCCTAAACGAGTTAATGTTACTACAGCAATTTATGAAGATAAAATATATAAATTATCACCAGTATGGTTAGCAACTATTTCTTCAAACAGTATCACAGGAAGAAAATGTGTCAGTTTATATACAGAAGATAAAAAACAAGCAGTTCACATTTATTATTCAGATGAAAAATATTTCTACTTCTTTAATGAAAATGAATTTAAATATGATTTAAAAGAAGACTCAATCACACAACTTAAAGTTGAACTTCATTTAGAATGGAAACGTCTTGCATGTGAAGTTGTAAATATCCCAACAGGAAGTTTTTTTAGTAAATCTCGAAATGGTAAAAGTGCTGTATTTTATGTTCGTGAGTCAATGATTTGTGTTAGACTTGATTCAGGAGATATTATTGTATTAGATGCTAATAGCAACTCAATTTATGTGAATACACGAAAATTAATATTATAATTGATTATTTAACGTTTTGTTTGTTTTATGGTTTTAAATAGAATAAAAGATAAAGCGTTTTCACTTTCTTTCTTTATTCTTTAAAAACAGTTATTTAAAACAACAACACTATTACAATAGAAGAATATGATGAAATCTACATTGAAACAACAGAAAAAGAAAAAGCAAATAACACTAATACAACTGAATAAAAAATAAATGATTAAATGAATGTGATATTGTATTTTATTATTGTCTTGTTTTGATTTAAGTATAAATGAAATTGTGTTTTCTTTGATTGTTTCTTTTGATTCAATTTATCCAAATTATATTTTAATTACATCAACATTCTTATTAATAACTTTTTGCTTTAATCTTACCAATATTATCAAGTTATCATTCAATGGATTGAATGTTTATTAAGTTCATTGTTATCAGAAAATCAGTGAAATGAACTGGTTATTTTTAAATGAAATGAACTGAATTTAATGATAGAAGATGAAGAAGTTTTAAAAAGAAAGAAATGGTGAATATAAAATGAATAACCAAAACATAAAACAAACATCAAAATATCAAATCAACAATACAATACCAATAAAAATCATTAAATGAAAGAATAGAATACTAAATGTTATACAATCAAACCAAGAAATAAAGAAATCAATACTTTATAGAATTTATCTTCTTCAATAAAATAACAAACAAATTTAACAACAAATTTCATTATATTTAATAATTAACAAAACAGAATGAGTTTTTTTTTGAATAAGAAACAAACAATACGAGAAACGAATAATAACAGAAACATGAAATAAAATAGAGTTAATAAATCAAATATTTCAAGTATTTTTATCATTTTATTGATTTATCATAATACAAACTCAGGAAATAGAAATAATAAACGAATAACAAAAACAAGAAGAAAGGAAACAAAGAAAGATATAAGTAATAAATAACAGATAATCAATATATAAAAAGTAAAATAAAATACAGAAATAAATCAACACAAAAACAACAACAATGATAAATAATGAATAAATAAAGAAGATAATTAAGAGATAAAAACACAAACAAAGAATAAAAATGTTGACTAAGTGTAACAGAATTGGTTTCTGTTTTTACCTGTTCATAGAGACCAATTTCATTTATGAACTATTATCAAAAATCGGTATGACTATGTTCTGTTATAGTAGAATCAATGTTTTATAACATCTTTCATATTTTTATTACAATGTTTTTGACTTCTTTTATAGAGTGTATTTCATTTTTAATTATTTAATTATTTTAATGTTTTCTGTATTTTCTAATTAATTTATTGAAGTTATTTCTGCAATTATTTTAAATTATTTTATTTCATCTTCTTTATTCTATTTTTCTTTATATATTTCTTCTTCAATATGTTTAATTGAATTGTGGTTTGCAACATTAGTCATATCAAATAATATACAAGTTTTATTATTTTTATCTATTAAATATATATGATATTTTATGATATTGTATATCAGTTTTTGATATTATTTATTTGTTCAATATCATGATGATGTCATTGTATTAGAACATTGTTTATTTTTTTTATTTATTGTATTGATTATTTCATGTATATTTTCTTATTATCTAATATGATAATATTGATATTATCATGTTTTTCTATTTGTGATTTTTATGATAAATACAAGACAATAATATGTTCTACTATTGATATCTTGTATTTATAAAGTGTTGATTATTTTAATCATTCATTTCTTATTATTTTATCTTTTCTATACAAACTGAATAATATTGTATTTTGTATTTTAGTTAAATAGAATAAGAATAAAGAAATAAAAAATAATAAAATGATTTATCTTTATTTGTACTATTCTTATTTATTCTTATTTGATATATTAAATATTCATTTATAAACATAATATAAATAAAATAAAAAATAAATAAAAAAGAATAAAATAAATATTTCATTATATTTTTATTTATCTTTTATTCTTATTTCTTTTGATTATTTATTAAATTAACACAATAAATGTGAATATTTCAAATAAAATAAAACAAGAAAGAAATATGAACATTTTTATATTCATTATTTCATTTATTGATAGATGAAATGTTCATATTCATTTATTGATTTTATTTTATATTCTTTTTTAGTTATTATATTTCAAATAAAAAATAATGAATAAAAATCATTTCATTTCAATTACAATAATTCGTTGTGGTTTGAAATATTCAGGAAATTGTTTTCCACAAAGTGTATTTGATATTCTTTTATATTCATATGATTGTTGTTACAATATGAATATGTTTTATTATTTTCAACATAAACAGCAATATCATATCTATTATATCCAAATGCAAACAAACAAATATTTGATTGGTTAAATAAATAAAATGCATACGTTGTTCTTTAATATCAAATTTCATCATTCATTTTATTCTTCCTTTTGATTCTAATGAAAATAAAAATGAATTTGGATCATTTATATAATCTTCAACTTTATCAATTTTAGAATTAATATATCCCCCAAATTTATTTCCATTTATATCTTCAATAATAATTATGAGATGCTCTTTATCTACAACTTTTTCTCCAAATACTGAATTACCTGCATTCCATGTATTAATATGAGAATCAAATAGTATATTGGATACTTTTCTTGATGTCCATTCTTCTAGTTGTTGAATTTCTTCAATTGTACACACTCCTCTCATTATTCTTAATCTTTCTTCTTGTTGTTTCTTCTTTTCTTTTTCTTCTTTTACTTCTTCTTCTCAAAATAATCACTATAATGTGTAAACCATTCTTCTTTATTTTTATTAAATCTTGTTTTAATATTGTTAATTTCTTCTTCTATTTTCTTAATTTTATCTTTCATATTCATTTCTTCAATATAAATGATTTTATCTATTAGTTCATTCTTTGCTTTATTAGATGTTTCTGAATCATTATTACATTCTTCTATTATATTTTCAATTTTATTTTCAATTATTTCTATTGTTTGAATTGTTTCTTGACTTTTTTTCTATTACCATTCTTCTTCTTCTTCTTCTTTCTGTTTCATCAATCCTATCAAATATTCCTTCTCCTCTTTTAATAGCTTCTGAATATGTTTCATTTGGTTTTATTTCAAATATTTCATTTTTAATACATCCTAAATAATATTGATAATGATTATTAATATCATCAATTGATTGTTGAATATTTTGAATTGTTTCTATTTCTTCTTTAAAGAAATGAGTGTTCTTGTTTATTAACTCATCCATTTTAATTTAATTAATATCAGATTAAAACAAGATAATTAAATAAATAAATACACATTTATAACACATTATTTTATTTATTATTTTAATAATGTTATTTTATTTTTATTATTTTAAATAACAATATTATATAATAAAATATATAATAAAATAATAATAAAATAATAAAAATAAATTAATGTTATTTATCTATAATTATATTTTTATTTTCTCAATCTTTTATTTGATAATACAAATGAATATCATTAATTTCATCTAAATACTATACAATGAGATATTTATATAAATACTTAAATCAATTAATATGATAATTTCATTTCAATATGATATTTTCTTATTGATTTTAATACGATTTCTGATTTATTTTCATTTATTTCATTATTTATTATTCTTTAATTTCATTGTTGATTATTTCCATTTCTTCATTAATTTGTATCATTATTCTCAATCAATATAATATATGATTTAAATTATTAAAATTCTCTTCAATGAAATAAGAAAATAAAATGAATTTGATGATGAAGAATAGATAATGAAACAATTATAAAATTCAACAATTTAATACATCAAAGATTCATCATGTTTATACAAAATGAATATCTTCAATCATTATTCTACATTAAAATAATTTAATGAATCTATTAACCAAACATGAATAAGATGTTAAATGATTTATTGATTTCATAATATGAATCTACATAAATTATATATTTATCTTGATTTTGATGATTCAAGAATATAATAAATGAAATAAAGAAGAAAAAATAAGAAGAAAAGAAGATAAAAGAGATGAAAAGACAAGTATTGAAAAAGAAAGAAGAGAAAGAAATATGAACACAAGAAGTAAAGAAGAAGGAGGAATGATAAAAAGAGTTAAAGAAATGTATCAAACAATCACAAGAACAAAAATCAAAGTTGGAGAAAAAGCACCAAAAATAAGAGGGAAATCATATTATAAAGGAGAAATCAGAGAATATGAAATGAAGGAAGAGAAAGGGAAATATCATGTGATTGCATTTTATTGTAGAGATTTTTCAAGAATTTGTCCAAAAGAAATCAAAGAAATAAGTGAAAATATTGATAAATTTAAAGAATTAAAAACAGAAGTAATTGGGATTTCAGTTGATTCAGTAGAAGAACACAAAAGAATGTGTTCAAGAAAAGATGAAAAAGGAATAGGAGAAATAGAAATTGAATTAATAGAAGATGTAAACCATCAAATAACAGAAAGTTATGGATTACTTTCTATAATAGGAGTATCAAATAGAGCAACAATTATTATTGATGATAAAGGAATTGTTAGGAGAGTTGATATTCATTCAATGATTACAGGAAGAAATGTTAAAGAAATAATAAATGAATTAAAAAATATAATAACAATAGATAAAAAGAAGAATCAAAATTAAAAAATAAATTTAATGAATTATTGAAGAATCATTTTCTAAAATAATTTTAATAACATTTGAAATAATAGATTTAATTTCAGGAGATGCATGCACATTACATTCACAATCTTCTAATACATCATAAATAATTTTATTTGATACTCCAATAATTTTCATATTTTTTGCAATCATATGAAGTGTTGTAACTAATCCATTTTCTTCTTTTTCTCTATATTTTGCTTGTTGTGGTTGATTCCATCCTTTCCAAATTGTAGGTAATTCTAATGAATATAGTTTTCCATATATTTCTTTTTTTGAATTAACCATACTTTGATTAAATGCTCTATACCATATATTTTTATTATTCCATATCTCTGGTACTCTATATTAATATGTTGTCAGTAAATGAAATATCCATGAGAGTTGGTGTTTATTGTTTTGGTGTAAAGTATATAGATTATTTTAAAATTATTTTATTTATTAATAATCAGTTATTTTTATTTCTCTGTGTTGAAATATAAGTTCGTATTTTTATCTTTTTTATTTTTCAATTATTTTTATAAAAATACAATAATTTAACATTATGATAAAAAGAAAACTCATATTTTCGTTAAATTAAATTCTGTAACTGTCTTTTAATTATTACTAAATTACATATCTTATTTTGACAAATACTTTATTGAGCTTAATTATATTAATAATACCAATTTATTATTAATTTATTATAATAAACATCATTATTTAGATTCTTTGTTTGAGAAATAAGGATGTATGAATTCTATTTTTGGATAATTACTGATGTTAAAGGTTTGTTATTTGATTATTCAATAATTCAGATTTTATTTTTAAAGTAAAAGTCTCTGTCTAACAAAAAATTATTAAACTTATTATAGAAACAAATTTTGAAAATAGCTCATGAAAACATTCGTTATTCAAAATGAAACGATTTTTGTTGTATTTTAATAAAAAGTATTTCTATCTATAACATGAAATATTGTAAAATATTTAAAGGAAGTCTTTTGAGATATATCTTCATCTGAAATGAATTAATTATTTATCTTTACTAAAACTAATTTTTATTTTTTAATATTAATACTTTTTGTTGTTTTATAATTAAATTGGATACTATCTTATTGGTACTGATACGTTTTTATAACTTATACCAGTTTGTATAAATTTTTTATTATTAGATATTGTCAAATATAATAAAAATGAAGATGAATGAAAATCATCTAATAAATTTTCATGATTATTATAATTGAAAATAGTTTTTATTAGTTATTCTTCTTGAGTTATTATAATATTTATTGATAATAACTCTCTGAATATTATATACTTTAATTTATGAGTTTGTTGTTAGTGGTTTTATATTCAGTAATTCCTCTTTGATAAATTTTAAAAAAACTTCATTTATCATTTTATTTTATTTAGAACATCTTTGTTTTAATACGTTTTATATTTCTTTCTTTTTATTTATAACACAGTGTTTTATACTCTTCTTCTTTGAAGTTAACTGTTGAAACGTGTTGAAATAATACAACGAAGATTCAAAATATCTCCTATATTTTTTTATGGTAAATAAAATATTCTTGAGCTAACTATAAATTGATAATAAATCAAAATTGATAAAAAATTCAAATTTCGTAAAAAAAGTTAAAAATTAATATCACACCTGAAAATTTTTTGAAATAAAAAATCATAAATTGTATTTTTTAAGTTACGTTATTAATAATTATAACTTCATATGAAAAACAAGAACTAGTAAAAATGAAAAACATATTTAAATGTTTGTTTTCTATTACTTCAAGAAGAGATAAGATGCACTACTTTTTTGATAACGAAAAGAAATAGAAATATTATAAAATAAAGAAAGGAATCTAATATTGAAGATAGAAAAAAAAGGTCTTAAAGAATCTCATTACTATGTCTATTCCTATTATTAGACTTTATTATACTACACTCAAGAATTCAAATTTCTTCATTTCTTCTAATTCTGTTGTAGATATCATTTATAAGACACCTCTTGTAAAGCTTATCTAATGATGTTGCCAAAATTTCCTGAGTAGGACATTAAATTTATTTTTTAATAAAGATAAAAAATACAAAAATACAAAAATACAAAAATACAAAAATATAAAAATACAAAAATACAAAAATATAAAAATATAAAAATACAAAAATACAAAAATACAAAAATCATGTTATTTTAGAGATCTTTTATAAATCATTTACTAGTGAAAAAAAATTGTAAATTCTTTTACTAAAAAATTTAAAGAATCGGAATCTAAAAAATTTATACTATCATGTTTTTCTTTTTATCACTTGTTTCATTAACTCTTTCAAATGACTGTAATGCCTTTTGCAGTGAATGTAAAAATGGTCGATGTATTAAGTGTAAAGAGAATTTTATTAATAATAATGGTAAATGTATTTATTTTAAACAAGAAATTCTGAACTGTCAACTTTACATTGAAGGGTGTGTCTTATGTAACCATGGGTATTATCTTTCTAATGGGAATTGTATTCGTTTGTTGATGACTATATGTTACGCGTGAAATACAAACTAACTTTTAGAAGTGAACCTTCCGAATTGTATTGAACATGACCAAACAGGATCATGCATACAATGTATCACTGGTTACTTCATTAATGACAAAGGACTTTGTCAGAGCTGTCCACCAAATTGCATTGAGTGCATAGCTAATAAGTGTTCAATTTGCGAAGATGGGTATTATCTTATTAATGAAACATGCATTAAGGGAAACATTAAACATTGTGAGCGTTATGATAGTCTTGGGAACTGTGATACATGTTCTTTTGGTTATGGAGTTAATAACGGACTATGTGAAGTATGTAAAGTTAAAGATTGCCAAGACTGTAGCTTATATGATGAATGCTTACTTTGCAACGGAGGAAATAAGCGATTGTTTAATAATAGTTGCCAGGATTTCATACCAACACAAAACTGTAAAGAATATGATACCGATTTTATTGAATGCTTGGACTGTGAAAAAGGATATTACCTTGAAAAATCACACTGTTTTTCCTGTCCATTGCACTGTGCGTACTGTAACTCTGACCATTGCAACCAATGTGACGATCATTATTTTTATGATGGAAAAAGGTGTTCTCGTTGTTTCTTGAAGAATTGTATAAAATGTTCTTCCTCTGACACATGTACACAATGCGAAGATGGTTATTATCTTTACAATAACGTTTGTCATAAAAAAATAAAGCATTGCAAAAAAGAAAGTAAATTAAAGTGTCAAGAGTGTGATGAAGGGTTTTATTTAACAGTAGGTATTTGTATTCAAGGTGTTGCTCACTGCTTATCTCATAAAAATCACGGACAGTGTCTTCAATGTGCCCCAGGATATTTCTTAACTGAGAACTATTTATGTTCTCAGTGCCATTCCTCGTGTAAAACATGTGAGGGTTCTTCAATCCTTTGTACCTCATGTCATACTGGTTTTATTGGAAAAGACTCCCAGTGCCTTACTTGTATGGATAAGTTTTGTAGTAAATGTACTATCGATGGAACTTATTGTTCAGAATGTGAGTCAGACGCTTATGAAAATCATAACGGCGTCTGCGAGTCTTGTCAAAGAGATTGCCACCAGTGCGATGGCCATGGACATTGTAATTACTGCTACAATGGCAGTCAAAACAAAACTGAATTTTCCCAAGATGGAACTTGCCTTTACAGTGAAAAGAACGATGAAGGAAATGGCTTTTATTAATTTATTGTTTTTTTAATGGTCATAGTTGCGATCGGGTCTTTTATATTCTTCAAGAAACAAACCCAAACGAATGCAACATATTTAAGAAACAACAATCGGTATAGACACATGACGTCATAAGAAAGATAACTGAAAAACATCAACACTCTTTTAATTATAAACAAATCATCACTTTAATTTTTTTAATTATTTTTATTTTATTATTATCTTTTATTATTGATTCGAAGGTAGCACGTCAGAGATACCACACACTTCCCTAAAATTTCCATCCTTCGAATACCCCAGTTATGAACTGGTTATGGTTTGTATTTAGTTGAAAAACATCTTACCCAATAATGCAAGAATATCAGTGATTATTATTTACAATGGTGGGGTATCACTGATAATAAAAGAATGAGTATTTATAAAGATGGTATTATTACTTGTTAGAATATAAGTACATTTGATAACATAGGATTATCAAAGAAAAAGGGTGTTGTGGTTGATTCTAAAAAGAATATTATCCCATAGCAATATAGTAGTATTATATATTCTCCTTAAAATAAGAAAATAAAGAATAATAATTTTAATACACATTAAAATCAAATAGAAATTAAGTGATGAGTGTTAAGTAAGGGATGTCTAAAATACTTTATTTCATATCAAATAAATGAGAAAATGAAATTTTCATATTTCAAAACTAAAATCAAAGAATAAGTTAATAATTGATGAATAAACACTTTTAAAGCAAAGGGACAGGATTAGTTAATTTCCGTTGAGCAACAAACAATAGAAAATATTTCTATTATCACTTAATTGTCTACTTTTTATTATTGATTTAATAATTCGATCTTAGTAAAAATTCTTGAAATTTATGGTATTATTTAGTTTTTTTCTTTCTATTTTTTTTTCTTCTTGGATTTTTAAGTAATATTTATTAATTTGAGTTTTATATTAAACTTGTTGATTAATAAACTCAAAATGATTGAGGCCATAACTCTTATAGC